GTAATGGCACCAAGCACCGACAATCGGTTCACGCGAGACTTGATATTGGACGCTGTGCCGTATTCGTCCGCCAACATCTTTGCAACGCGGGAGATTTGATCCTTGGGCGGGATCACGAGCGAAATCATACTGGTGCCGTTCCTACGTTATCCATAAGGTTGAGCGTCGTGTGAATTCTGTGCACATACCCTCGTGCATTTTGAAGGCTCTTGATGAGCTTCTTCATCTTGAAGAGCTCGACCTGCTCTTCCTCCTTCGTCTGTCCCGGCGCGCTCATCCTGGTAGCTTGGTTATCTGGGTAGTGAGTGAAAGGAGACCAACAAATATAGACCGTCTTTTAATTATCAATTTTATTTAGTGCTGTTTTCATACAACGAAGCTGTAATTTTATTGTTGCATGCCGAATTTCGTCATTGCCACGTCCGAATGCTAACGCCGCAGCGCCAAAAAAATCACTTCAATTACGATGCGATTCCCGTCTATTTTAATGCGGGAGGTAAAAGAAATCGAGTGGCCATGAGCAACACATCAAAAATTGAACTCATTTAAGCGAATGCTGCTATGGTCAAAATTTAGACTTGAGATTTGTATTCTTAGAATCTGTTAGTCTGATTGGATGAATCAACCCAACACAACACGCCAACCGATTCTGGCATGGCTCTCACCGGCGGCGGAAGCGAAGATGGCAAAAAATGCATCACGTCACAACATGGGGTTGGCCGTGAGAACTCGTCCTTGCTGTTAGACTGTTGTTTGTGATATCTCATCGCGCCTTAATCCCGTTCTATACCTATCAAGAGAGCGTATGCTCACCATGGGAACACACGTCTTGCTTCGATTTAAAGCTTGACAGCATAGTACTCGTCCGTGGTGATGTTCTTGGCGCCGCCATAAAAGTCCAAGAGCAAAATTTCCGTCGGATGAAGCTCGAATCTATCGAGTTGCATTGATCACAAATAGTTCACGGATGCCATTTGCCAACGAACGGTTGAAAGCCATGGCCAGCAGGCCACCACGACATTTGGGGATGCCTATGGGAACATTCACGGTTAGTGTCACGCAGGATGAACGCATGGCGAACTTGGAATAGAGAACTTGCAATGCAGCCCTCTTGGCGGCGTCCCCTTCCACGGGCAGCAACTTGCCGGAGATCGTCGCCTTCCAGCACGTCGGGTCCTAACAGAGAGAAGCAGGTCCATATCTGAACAATTTCCTCCATCAAGCTTGTGACGTACTTGCGCATCCATGATACAGTGGCCCAACTGAGCCATGGCAATCCCAACAGAGACATGCGGGTTCTTTGCCACATCTTGGCCTACAGCATCGTTAGTAGAGAGGCTGCACGTTGGTCAATTTGGTATTATACCCGTCGAGTCCATGGGGGTCAAGTAAAAGAGGATATTTCCCGTGGCATTCTCGGGCGAGTTGCCAATGCCATCTTGCGTGTAATATGTAATGAATCAAGGTAGAATGCAGTGAAAGGATGTACCGCTGTAGGATGCCAGGCCGGCAAAAGGGGCGCCATTCAAGTGAATAGAAGTCGTGGCAATGGTGGCCCATGAGTTTTTATGCACGAGCCATCGGGCCGTGCGAGCGCTACACGCACATAGTGAAAGAATGATGCACATTTTCAACCGATAACAAGGCGACACGCACCTTTGTTCGTGGGGGTTGAGTGCAGTGGCGATAATCGATTCTTCCGCTGTCAACCCGCTGAGCGAACCGACGACGGCAGACCCTGCGCGAAGGTTCATCGCCGCAGTTGCAGTTTGCGTGATGGGGGATGTGTGGCTGACTCCAAACATAAACAACGTGGAGGCGAGGGTAGCGCCAGCAACAAGCCACTTGCGTGGCGCCTTTTCAGGGGCTGATGCATGCGTCTGGAACACTGGGGTGGACTCGGTCATGGTTCGGCAACTTTTGGTGTACAGGAAGCTTTTCGCAGACAGAATGGTGCGCCTGCCCGACCACGGCGTGCGACATTTCAAATGTGTGAATTTATGTGGACGTAGCCAATCAAATCCATGAAAGCGCTCTATTGGTTTAGTATTGGCCAATCAAAGGGCGTTTGCATGTTGAAATGATTCCTTTGCGGATGGCATCACGTTCTCAAACGTGATGCCATCCTTGTTATAGTTGTAACAACTATAACAAGGCCGGTATAGGGCGCTAGAGGATCTCTAGATGCCTTTATATGAGTTAGTTCAACTCGATAACGATATTCCCGCGTGGGTATCACATATTTGTTGATCATATATCATCTATCACTTATCCAAAAAAAATATATGACACATTGGAAAAATTCAAT